ATCAGCTTGTAACACTCCAAAGAGAAAGGAAAACTTGAAATCACATCATATGACCCCTTTAAAAAACCTTCCAAAATCAACTTAGAAAAACGGTAAAAGTCAACAGGCTTTTCAAAATCCAAAATACTGCCAAACAGGAGCTTTAGCATCTCGTTTCGAAACTAAATCATCCGCGATCGTCTTGTCTGTCTCACCTCACTCTTCTTGTCAGTCAGCTCGACTCGCTCTCCTCACTGGAGAAATGAAATCTGATCTGTGATGCGACTGTCGTTCGGCACGCTGCATTGAGCAGCCGCGCTCAGTTTTTAATTGTAGTGTCTGTTCTTTCACTGAACTAAATGATTTTTATTACTATAAACAAATCTAAATGACGGTGGGGGTTGGTGGGCAAGTGACGTAACCGGTGTTGCGGTTTAACAACGGTATCATCGTCAGAACCGTCTATCGCGGCAAGCCTAATGGAAAGTAATGCATTGTTACTTTTGCATTACTTTTTGTCACCTGGGCTGTGCTTGCTTATTTGTTTCTTAATAACAAACACCCAAAAGTTTTATTTTTTGGCATCTGTAAAGGCCCTTTCACACCAAAAGTGAAATGAATAAGCCTCAGGCTGAAGGAAATGCCTCTGCACCTTACTTCCAATTTCTCTCAACACGGGGACAGGACAGCTGTCAGTCAATAAATGGGAGCTACTAAAAGTAATTATATTAATTTACTAATTTACTAAAAATAATTATACAGATATTTTGTTGTAAATTTAAAAGTAATGTGTTACTTTACTAGTTACTTGAAAAAACTAATCTGATTACTTGTTATGCAATACCCCAACACTGGTTTTAGTTCTTGAAGTTCTTGATCAGGGTTTAGCTGGTTACTAAGCTAAACTATTTAATTATATGAACTGTTTTTTTTTTTAAACTAACGTTTTCTGCTTTTTTTGCAAGCAAAATAAAATTGTAAAAATATTTAATCATAGTAACCGTTTTTTCCAAACAGATTTAAATAAATACAAACTTTTTATTATATTACTGCCGTTTTTCGCAAGCAAAATAAAATAAAACAAAATATCATTATATTAACTGTTTTTGCTAGCAAATTTAAATAAACACATATTTCATTATATTAGTACTGTTTTTTGTTTTTAGCAAGCAAACAACACAATTAAATAAAATAATTTCTATGTTTTATATTAACTCTTTTTAAGGAAAATTAAATAAATACATATTTCATTATATTACAATAGTTTTTTGTATTGTTTTGTTTTGCAAAATAAAAAAAAATATCTTTTTTTTCATATTTCATTATATTAACTGTGTTTTGCAAGAAATATTAAATTAAAAATTAAATAAAAAACTAAATAAAATAAGAAATATTTCATATTAATAATATATTTATTATATTACTACAGTTTTTTTGTTTGTTTTTTTGCAAGCAAAATAAAATAAATAATACAATTATATTATTACTGTGTTTTCATAGGGCTCTTAAAAGCATGAAATAGCATGACTATTATTCTCTAGTAGTCACCAGTGAAGGGTTTGGGACGGTCCATGTGCTTGTGTTGAGTTCAGCCAATCAGCACTATCACACAACATACATAAGTGCATGTGTCCTTCCAATCCTCATACTAGTATTTACAAGAGCTGAAGATGTGAGGTAACAGAAGAAAGGATAAAAGTGTATTTACCGTGTTGGCCATCTGAAGTCCGGGGTCCAGCGAGAGTCCCATGATATCATCATTGTAACTGGATTCCAAACTAATGATGTCATCAATGACATCGTCCATCTGAGAAAAATCAAAAGCAGTATCAGCGGTCAGCGCTCAGCGCTCAGCGGTCAGCGCTCAGCGGTCAGCGGTCAGCGCTCAGCGGTCAGCGCTCAGCTTCAGTATAACGCACTATGAACTCAGTTAACCTGTCTAGTGTGCTGCAAGAATGGAAGAGGTCAAATCAATCCATTTCCTATATTGAAAATCACTAGTTAATCTGACCTACATCCCAAAGAGCTGTGTATTTCCTCTCAGCTGCACTCAACGTGCCAATGTCAGACTCGGCCTAATCTATTAACACTTGCTAAAGCACAGCTCGCTCTCTCTATCACAGCGTGAACAGTGACGCAATCCAGCCAGCTGCTTCAACTGCTATTTGTACATCATTTTCTGATGTTGCTGGATTTGTGGGAAATGTGCTTGCCGTGCTCTTGGTGAACCTGTCAGGATCCTGTCGCCTCTGTCTAGTCTTGTTTATGGTGTCCATGTTTTGTGTTGAGCACATGCTTTCTGTTTTGATTATTTGCCATGTGCTCAGTATTATGTCTTGGCTCATTTTTAGCCTCCTCATTTCCTCCCCTTTCTATTCTCCTTGTGTGTTTCTGTCCTGGTTTGTTTTGTGGCATAGCTTGTCTTCTCATTCCCGTCTTGGTCCCTTTGTCTTGCTAGTCTAGTGGGTTTAAACCCTGCCATAAGGCCTTTTGCTTTGACTGTGATCTGGGCTCCTGTATGTTTATGCCCAGTTTTGTGGTATATTTACACTGCAAAAAATTATATGAACAGTAAGTCATGGCAAGTTATATTTTTACATTACTTCAACTCATCAAAATAAGTTGAGCAATTGTAACTTTTTTATACAAGTTTTTAAGTTGGTTTAATGCAATTTAAGTTGAATATACTTAAGTTTAGGGCAGCAACTGAACTTAAGCTTTTAAGTTGAAATCGGTGGAATAATGGAAAAATCTACTTGTTCAGCACTCTGTCCCAAACCCTGACAGAACCCCAGAAAGAACATGTCTGGATCATATTTCACCTCCTTTTTTTTCCTCAATTCAAGGATTCATTATTTATTTTTATTTTTTTTTTACAAAAAATAGATAATATAATAGATAATATCACACCTATATTTTGTGCACACTGTTGTTCAGTTTACTTGTATTTGCCTAAGTCCCATAAATTAAATTTTTACAATGTCTGCTATCTGAATTCATGAGTCTTTAGCTCAAAATAATGAATAGAAAATGTTAGTCATTTATCTATATTTAATTATTATTATTATTATTTATTAAAGGGGTCATATGATGCGATTTCAAGTTTTCCTTTCTCTTTGAAGTGTTACAAGCTCTTGGTGCATAAAGAAGATCTGTAAAGTTGCAAAGACTAAAGTCTCAAATCCAAAGAGATATTCTTTATAAAAGTTAAGAGTCAGCCACGCCCCCCTAAAACGGCTCGTTCTAACACGCCCCCACATATCTACCTCACTATGTGGGAAGATTTGCATAACGCCGCCCAAATGTTCACACAAAGAAAGGAAAGGCAGCATCATATGACCCCTTTAATTATTTTTTACGACATAAATACCTCAGAAAAACAGATTGAGGATAAATGGATAAATTAGATAAATGTCCTGTTAATTTTTTCTATATTTGATCTCCAAAGACCTATTGTGAAGGAGTATATTAATTGCCCATCAACTATGTTATGGTTTTGCAATATTTGTATGATTTTAAATTTTAAAAAAGCATATTGTTTTTATACTTTTTCCTGGTGTGAAATGCACCCTAAATTATAGAATGACTCTAATATAGCAATAACAAATAATAAAGTAATCAATTATGGAGCAACTAACGCTAAACCGAAATAATTACATGTTGTTCATAAATATTACTCAGTTCCTGAGTCAATATAAATACAATTTATAAATATCATAAATAAATAAATCTGATCAATATTATATATAAATATTAAATAACTTTTTAAAAATTGGACAAAATCTGCTGTAATTATACTAATGTAGCCATTATTTTTTAGAAATGGCTGAAGTGAAATATCACAGTATTTTGTAAGCGTGTCATCACCTCTTTCTCGCAGTTGGAGTTGAGGGTCAGTAAGGCCATGGGACTGTTGGGGGCGCTGTTGCCCGGCCCCGGAGGCATTCCCCCGTGGTCAGGGGCCTGGCTGGGGCACGGCAAGCTCACGGCCTGCGAGCCCAGCTTTCCTCCCAGTGTGGTGGACAGATACGCCTTCACCTGCTGCCTCTGAGCCTGCTGGATGTGATACTTCGTGGGGTTTTCAAGATGCGTTTGAACCTTCAGCCAGACAGACAGACAGAGAGAGAGAGAGAGAGAGAGAGAGAGAGAGGATTGGCCTTCTTCGTCTCGTCTTTGCTCGACTTGTGTGCTGCTCTTTGCCGCCGGCTAGATACTGTCACAAGAACATCCTTCTCAATGCTGAGGCTGCAAGAATGAGACACATTGTCTGGGGTTTAGAAGATGCACCAGTGCAGCACTGAACTATCACGTCGCATCAAGCAGCTGCATGCCTATGAAAATGTTTTTGCTTAACATGGACAAAACTCTCGTTGATTCGCTCGTGTGCTCTAGGGGTTCATACTAGTGGTCGACGGATAAAACACGAACTCACACTTTATATACTAGCAGTCAAAAGATTGGAATAATTAAGATTTTTTAAAATGTTTTTGAAAGAAGTCTCTAATGCAAACAATAAAACTATTTTCTATTTCTATTTTCATCAAAGAATCCTGAAAATAAAAATGTATCAGTTTCCACAAAAATGTTAAGCAGCAAAACATTGTAAATAGGAAGAATCATATAACTGAGCATCAATAATGATTAATAAAAATGATAATTGAGCACCAAATTAGCATATTATAATGATTTCTGAAGCATCTTAATAATAAATAAATAAATACATACAGTACATACACACCTTGGTGTGCATAAAAGATTTGTTTAAAAAAAAACATTTCAATCTTACCAACCCCAAACTTTCTAAGTTTACTACAAACATATGAAAAAGAAAAATTAACATATCCATGGATAAAAATACAGATTCATTTTTCTGAAAGGTTTTAAATGAGTTTCAAAAATAGTTTAATTTCACAGATTTTTTTTTTAGTTTTGGAGTCAGACTCTGTCCCATCTGCAAAAAAATTGCACGTGGACACACTTCTGAAACCAAAAGTGACAAATGACACCCTACACTCAGAAGAAAAGGTACAAAAGCTGTCACTGGGGTGGTACCGTTTCATTTTTGTACCTTTTAGGTACTAATTTAAAGTACCAATATGGTCACTTTCGGTACAAAGGTGTGCCTTTTAAAAAGGTACTGCCCCAGTGACAGCTTTTCTACCTTTTTTTTCTTCTGAGAATCTACAATCTAACGGAGTTCACAGATGCGCATGAAAAAAAGACCTAAAGGTGGCGAGGTTTGACAAGGTTAAGTCAGTTATTAAGGTTAAGAAAGAAGATTCTGTTGTTATTTACTCACCCTCATGTCATTCCAAAACCATATTACTTCTTTAAACATAAAACACAAAGGAAAATATTTAGCAGAATGTCCAGGCTGCTCTTATCCATACACTGCAAGTGAACAGAGAATGAAGCTATTGGGCTCCAAAAATGACCACAAAAGTACCATAAATTATCCACACTGACTTGTGTGCTATAATATTCTCTAGGTTTTCTAATAACATACAAAAGTTTTGAGTGAGGACATCGAAAATAAATTCACTATTATAAAACGGAGAGTTCCGGTCCTTGATTTTGATTGGTTGCGGATTGGTTCGAAGCTGTTGTAAAATACTCTACAAACATACACCTTTGTTTACTTCTGTGTGTCGCTCTGCAGCCACTTTGTTGGAACCACAACTGTTTCTGAGGAACTACATTGTTTGGTGGAAGAATACTGTTTTATTATCATTATACTTTATTTGCTCTGTTTTATTTTGTGAAATCTTACTACATATATGGAATAACCGTTTTATAAAAGCAATAAGCCCCGTGAAGCCGTGGTTTACAGTGAATTTATAACAGCTAAGGGGCGTTGTTAGGCACGTCGTGGAGCAGAGAGCCTAAAACCCTCGTAGCTGTTATGAATTCACGGCTTCTTGGGGCTTATTGCTTTATTCACTGAAAATCTTACTCTCTGCCGCAGCTTTACATTGTTCCTCAAGAGTAACTACAAGACACTACTGATGATGATATTATTAAATGTTTTTGAAAGAAGTCTCTAATGCAAACAATAAAACTATTTTCTATTTCTATTTTCATCAAAGAATCCTGAAAATAAAAATGTATCACAGTTTCCACAAAAATTTTAAGCAGCAAAACATTGTAAATAGGAAGAATCATATAACTGAGCATCAATAATGATTAATAAAAGTGATAATTGAGCACCAAATTAGCATATTATAATGATTTCTGAAGCATCGCAATAATAAATAAATAAATACATACAGTACATACACACCTTGTGAAATCTTACTACATATATGGAATAACCGTTTTATAAAAGCAATAAGCCCCGTGAAGCCGTGGTTTACAGTGAATTTATAACAGCTAAGGGGCGTTGTTAGGCACGTCGTGGAGCAGAGAGCCTAAAACCCTCGTAGCTGTTATGAATTCACGGCTTCTTGGGGCTTATTGCTTTATTCACTGAAAATCTTACTCTCTGCCGCAGCTTTACATTGTTCCTCAAGAGTAACTACAAGACACTACTGATGATGATATTATGAGAAGCCGATTCGGATTATGACACAATGGCATAGGTTTCACAGACTAGTACAAATTATACGTTTAAGACGCCCTTTTCACTGAAACAGTATTAGGCTCCACCAAAAGTCAAATCCATGAGCTGTGCCACTAAACATATTTCTTGTGTTTTGTTTTGTTTTGAAATATTGTGAATAGTGAATGGTGAATCTGATCCCTCGGCTATGATCCTACATCCCACTTTTCCAGCTTATTTTCCCTCTTCCCAGCATTAAATATGCGCTGGAATGAAACGAGTGCTCCTAATTACAGGCATTCTTTGCTGAATTAGCGTTTGGTGTGTGCTAAGACTGTTCTTGCCTTTGTCTCGCTCCCAAACCTGATCCTGTACTTATTTCTGAAAAGATCAAAGGTCACTTGGCTAATTAGGGGCCAATCAGTCTTTAGGCAAACTCATCTGAGCTTAATGTTTTCACTTTTTCACAGACTAGTACAAATTATACGTTTAAGACGCCCTTTTCACTGAAACAGTATTAGACTCCACCAAAAGTCAAATCCATGAGCTGTGCCACTAAACATATTTCTTGTGTTTTGTTTTGTTTTGAAATATTGTGAATAGTGAATGGTGAATCTGATCCCTCGGCTATGATCCTACATCCCACTTTTCCAGCTTATTTTCCCTCTTCCCAGCATTAAATATGCGCTGGAATGAAACGAGTGCTCCTAATTACAGGCATTCTTTGCTGAATTAGCGTTTGGTGTGTGCTAAGACTGTTCTTGCCTTTGTCTCGCTCCCAAACCTGATCCTGTACTTATTTCTGAAAAGATCAAAGGTCACTTGGCTAATTAGGGGCCAATCAGTCTTTAGGCAAACTCATCTGAGCTTAATGTTTTCACTTTTCAAGTCCAGCGGCTCTGCCTGGTACACCTAAGCTAATTTCACATCGCTTTGGGAAAGGGGCGACTAAGCTAGCCAAAGACAGCCAGTCTCAAAGCTTTCTTTTTCTGCTTTCTTTTGATCGTTTGCTCAGTTTTATTCTCATAAAAAAGAGAGGAAAGCTTTCATGCCTTCTTGTATAACAGGAACTTGTAAAACTTCAAATCTGTCATTTATAGTTTTCAGTGGGAAACTATTTAATCAATCAGAGCAAATGTATTTTCTTAGTTTAAAGTGGTTTCAACCATTTTATTCACAATCGACTGCACTTTCTCATATTTGATACATTTCTAAATATTTTTACTATTTTTACTAAGCTTCTACTCACTCTTTCTACACTTTTCTAAATAACTTTAGTATATTTCTAAGTACCTACTTAGTTTTTCGACACTTTTCTAAATACTTTTACAATATTTCTAAGTTTCTACTCATCTTTTTCTACACTTATCTAAATATTTTTTACTATATTTCTAAGATTTTTACTATATTTCTAAGTTTCTACTCATCTTTTTCTACACTTGTCTAATTATTTCACTATATTTCTAAGTTTCTACTCATTTTTCTACACTTATCTAAATATTTTTACTATATTTCTAAGATTTGTACTATATTTCTAAGTTTCTACTCAGTCTTTCTATACTCTTCTAAATATTTGTACTATATTTCTAAGTTTCTAATCATCCTTATTAAATATTTTTACTATATTTCTAAGATTTTTACTATATTTCTAAGTTTCTACTCATCTTTTTCAACACTTGTCTAATTATTTTTTACAATATTTCTAAGTTTCTACTCAGTCTTTCTACACTCTTCTAAATATTTTGTACAATATTTCTAAGTTTCTACTTATTTTTTCTAAACTTTTCTAAATAACTTTACTATATTTCTAAGTTCCTACTTATTTTTTCTACACTTTTCTAAATACTTTTACAATATTTCTAAGTTTCTACTCATCTTTTTCTACACTTATCTAAATATTTTTACTATATTTCTAAGATTTTTACTATATTTCTAAGTTTCTTCTAATTTTTCCTAACTTTTCTAAATATTTTATTATACTTCTAAGTTTCTACTATTTTTTTCTACACTTTTCTAAATACTTTTACAATATTTCTAAGTTTCTACTCATCTTTTTCTACACGTATCTAAATATTTTTACAATATTTCTAAGTTTCAACTCATCTTTTTCTACACTTGTCTAAATATTTTTACTATATTTGTAAGTTTCTACTCAGTCTTTCTACACTCTTCTAAATATTTTTACTATATTTCTAAGTTTCTACTCAGTCTTTCTACACTCTTCTAAATATTTTTACTATATTTCTAAGTTTCTACTCATCTTTTTCTACACGTATCTAAATATTTTACTATATTTCTAAGTTTCTACTCATCTTTTTCTACACTCTTCTAAATGTTTACTATATTTCTAAGTTTCTACTCATCTTTTTCTACACGTATCTAAATATTTTACTATATTTCTAAGTTTCTATTCAGTCTTTCTACACTCTTCTAAATATTATTACTATATTTCTAAGTTTCTATTCAGTCTTTCTACACTCTTCTAAATATTATTACTATATTTCTAAGTTTCTATTCAGTCTTTCTACACTCTTCTAAATATTATTACTATATTTCTAAGTTTCTATTCAGTCTTTCTACACTCTTCTAAATATTATTACTATATT